CACGTGCGTTCAACGCCGATGCCAGCAGGCAACTGAAGACCGAGCTCTTGTCCCCTTTCTCCTATCAGTGCTATCACTCAGGCAGTGACGTCATGGGAAGCGCCAGCCAATAAGCCCTGCTCTCAATGGCGGAACAGGTTCTGGTTGCCTAAAAATGTTTGTGCGGCTGTGCGTTGGCCTCGAGGCCGAACAGCGGAGAGGCTGGTGCTGCTGTAGCTGTGACGCAGTAAACGACATAACGTGACTCAACTATTTATGCGAATCTCAGTGCAGCGCACTTGCTCTCATCCCCGAAACAGCAAATTTTCCAGTCATGTGGTTTGTGTGCAGCTCGATACCGCAGTGCGGGGCACACTCGAGCAAGCCTAATGGGAACGAGCCCTTCGAAAACGTCGGGGCAGTGACATACATGACTGATCAAACTATAATGGGTGAAACAACTCGGCTATCATACTATAGTGTTGACCCCATCCAGCGGCCATTTTTTTAGCATTCGTGCACCCGCAAAAAGTTCGAGTTAGAATGACAGTATATTTCGTGAATTGGGCGCATAAGAACTAATTATCTTTGTTTACTCTAAGGCTGGAAAGACCGATTCCCAAAGCCTGGAATCGCAGCAACCCCACTGTAAAGCCCTTGTATGATTAAAGGAACTCGTGATGAGGTCAGTACTTCACACTGTGGCGCGAGTTTTCCTGCTACCCCGATACCTATAAGCAGCAGGGTGCATGAACAATAAAGCCGTTGTTGCGGGAAGCAACGCTGCTTTATTGTTGCGTGTGCGATAAGCACTTTAGGGAAACAATTTCATGTACTGCGTTGAGAATAAAATCTTCGGCGAGTACGACGTGGAACTTTGCTGTAATGTGCGCGAAGAAATTGGGTGAAATTTATTCATGCTTGGCTGGCAGGCTTTATACAGCAGTCTGCAGCACAATGGAGGAGAGAATTATTCGGTCCGAATGCTGTTTTTTTTTGCGTTGCATACTTGAAGGTCACTGCTTCTGTAAGCAACCGTGTTGTGCTGAGCTACTGGTACAATAATTCGGTGCCCTTACAAAAGGTCGTGAGAGCTTAACAAGCACTGTCCAATATCGTTCCCTTTCGGCTATACTTGATACCGCTCTGAAAACTGGTTGAGGTGTCGCCTTCAATCGCGCGTGGCATGCAATCCATGCGAAATAAAACGTTTATCTCTCGGCCACGCACTCTGCACCCAAAGTAAGAGACAGGTGCACGCCATTTCGCTGACTTCAGTAAAGACAGATGCACCCGAAACGAGAGAATGTTTCATTTTAAGTAGTCTAGATGATTTACACAGCTACTCACCTTATACCAGAGAACCTCTTCATGTTGCTCGTCCGTGGCGCCACATGCTCCGTGGCTCGCTAAAAATCTTTTTTAGCAAGCAATATAACTTCTTTTGTAGCTAACACAAACCCAACCAGCTCTTTCAAAGCAAGAAAAGCCGAGGCTGAACAGTCTGAATCACTGGAGTGTTCGAACACTTCGCACAGTCGGTACCACTTGATGTCCCTTCGTACGTCAGAGGCGGCGACATGGTATATCACAGAACACCTATATGCTTCCAATTGATGGTAGCATATAGTATGTCCTGTCCTCCAGTAATTATGCAGGAGCGCTGTGCGTGCCTACGTTATATCGAAAGAAAAACTTGAAAATCGCTATGCCCTAAAGTATACACCGCTCACTCACAAACTGGCTCCGAACGCAACCGCCCTGTTTTTGCTGACGCGACGATGAAGCGTCCTTGCGCGACAGTGTTAAGTAAGCGTACAGTGATTCAGTGAGGAGGCCGTCGTCAACGGCTACAAAAGATATCTGCTGTTCGTAACCGAATGTTGTGCATTTTCATGGCGCCGAAACGATGGGAGTTCCTCGAACTGGTTCGCTCGCGAAACTTTCTGAATGGCTGTCGTGACATTCGCACTGCTTCGTTAGTTCGCTGTGCCTCATGCTTTCAACGTGTTTTTTTGTATCATTTTGGTGATTTAGTCTCGATACACCAGCGTGCAATGCACGTTGTCACTTCATAAAAATAGAGCCGTAAAAGATAACTTAGCAGGTAAATGAAAAGAAGAAAAACAGAATCTTAACTCCGAGAGCTTCAGAGGCTTGTGCGATCTCTGTTGCGTAGCGTATATTTCGATTTGGATATGTTTTAAACGTGCTGTGGTGATCATTCTGGCAGCTCAACCTTTAAACTTGTATTTGGGGCACTAGGCTCCATAACCGAAACCAACAACGCTCAGCCATTTCGTCACTAGGAACCACCACCATACTGTTCTCTGTTTTCACTGATGCAGTGCATCGAAATAGCAGAAAAGCAACACAGGCCCCTGTGGCTAGCATTCTTGGATATCAAGGGAGCGTACGATAGCGTGGTTCAAGAGGAATTGGGGGGGAATACTGGACACACTAGGCGTGGAACATGTAGTCACTAATCTTTTAAAGGGTATCTATAAATGTAACAAGGTAGTTATAAAGTGGGAAAAACAGGTATCCAAGCCTGCAGAGGTAAAACGGGGGCTTAGGCAGGGGTGCCCCCTGTCACCCTTATTATTCATGATGTACCTACAAGGATTAGAGGCAAAATTAGAGGGAAGTGGGCTGGGCTTCAAGCTCCCTTTAGTCAAACAAGGAAAACTTATTGATCAGGCACTACCAGCATTAAGGTACGCAGATGATATAGTGCTAATGGCCAAGAACATGAAAATTTGCAGAGGTTGATGGACATCTGCGGTAATGAGGGAGATAGGTTAGATTTTAGATTCAGTAAGGAAAAATCAGCAGTCATGATTTTCAATGACAACGAAGGTAGTGAGCTTAGGATACAGGACGTCACGCTAGAGATAACAGATAAATACAAATATCTGGGCGTATGGATAGGCAATGGGACCGAGTACCTGAGGGAACACGAAATATACGTGACGACTAAAGGTAACAGGAATGCAGCAGTGATGAAAAATAGGGCACTGTGGAATTACAATAGGTATGATGTTGTGAGAGGAATATGAAAAGGGGTCATGGTTCCTGGGCTGACGTTCGGCAATGCGGTCTTGTGCATGAGATCAGAAGTTCAAGCAAGATTAGAAATTAAGCAACGTGGAATAGGTAGGCTTGCTTTAGGAGCTCACGGGAATACAGCAAATCAGGGAGTACAAGGTGATATGGGATGGACATCATTTGAGGGCAGGGAAGCTAGCAGCAAGATAAAATTTGAGAAGCGATTGAGAGAAATGAAGGAGGAGCGTTGGGCTAGGAAGGTTTTCAGCTACTTGTACATGAAGAATGTCTATACAAAATGGAGGAAGCGAACCAGGAAGTTGACTGGTAAATACTTAGAAAACAGCAAGTGGCCAAACCAAAAAGAACTATCGGTTAAAAAGAAAGTGAAGGAAACGGAGACTGACATGTGCAAAATTGGCATGATTAAGAAGTCCGCACTAGAGATCTATCAAACTTTTAAGCAGGAAATTGCCAAGGAAAGGATCTATGATAATACTCGGGGTAGTTCTCTACTGTTTGAGGCAAGGACGGGACTACTGCAAACCAAGACATATCGGGCCAAATACGAAGGGGTAGACACAGTATGCAGTGCGTGTGGAGAGGAAGAAGAAACTGCAGAACACTTGATAATGTTCTGTAAAGGGCTTCACGCTATAGTTCAGGATGATGGCGCAGAGTTTTTCAAAGCACTGGGGTTTAGGGACCGGGAGGGCAAAATAAACTTTAGGCAAGTAGACTTAACTAGAAGGAGGTTATCTGATTGGTGGCTAAAGTTAAGGCACGAGTGAAAATTAAACTCTACACTGCAAAGTACGAATCCTCAAACTCACTTTTTAAGGAAAAAATAAATAAATATAGTTTTGAGTTCATGAAGTATTACGGCTTGGTGGCGCTAGCCACCGCCCAATCTAAAGGGTACGGCCATATCCATCCATCCATTCATCCATCCGCTGCTGTTGCCAACCGCCAATGTATAACCCTGTGTGGTCACTGGTAATATGGCTGACCCGCAATTCGAGCCTTTCAAGATATTTTTTGACCAGATGCCCCAACATATTGAGGCACCCATCAATTGCTACAGGTAAGCGAATGACCAGGCTTTGTCTAGGACTTGAACCGGAGCCTACCGTACGTCTCGGTGGTGCCTGGGAGGCCAACTAGTCTGTCTAGAGAGATGCGCCTATCGCGTGATAGTGTTTCTCCTTTGGGAGCGCTCGTGATTTCAGTAAACTAATACCGGGCATGGAATCGGGCGTCGGACACGTTAGCCGCTTTTGAGGACGGGACGGGCTGCTTTTGATTTCGTCAAAAACTGCGATACCGTTCGTGGTTTTGTGAAGCTGTAACCGCGCGTTTTGCATTACGCTAAATGGTGCTGCTGTGATCTACCCATCCGTTTTTACCGTTACCTAAGGATAAGGCCCCAACTTCACGCACGCGTTCGCGCGCGAGATTCTACGCGCTGGCGCGCTCATGCGTTCGGGGCGCCTGTGAAGGGGGAGGGCGAGCAACCACATGAGAGGCGCGCGAACGCTCACCGCCCCGCGCTCGACTTGCGCAGCCCAATGTCGCTAGACCACACTGGCCAGAACTGCCTGACTACAGACACACATGCGCACTACTAACAAGCGTCAAAATAGTTACTAAAACGCATAAAAGCATTTCTTTTTCATTTTGAGACGCCGAAAAAACTGTTTCTTGTCGACGCAAACTATCGACAAGACTTGACACACACACACAGCAGCCGAGCCTAGCCACGAGCCGAGCATCCGAGCCAAGTCGACGGTTTTGTTTACTCGGTAGCGCAGTGTTTCGACATCGCCTCCTCTGGTTTTGCTTACCGCTCTTTTCAAGCCCGCTTCCGTTTATCCTGCTTTATCGAGGGAAAATGGTCGCAACGCTGACTCGCAGCCATCTGTTCCTGCTAGCTATGCGAGTAGCGAAGGCAATCGTCAGAAGGCGGCAGCGAAGGCAACGAGAGCACCGTTGCTGGGTGCGGCCTGTCTTCTTGGCGCGAAAACAGGAAGGCCTGTACCACACAGCCGTGAGTATCGTGTTGCTATTTCGCAGTGCATTAATGCTTAGCCCTATTATTGTAGGCATGGTTAGCTGAGTTGGTTAGTCACAACGGGAATTTTTGTTTGTGTTTTCTGAAAGCTGTATAGCGTCATGACCAACAGTGGGGTGCACACGTTGTAAGCGCTCGCTTCTCGTCTGTTGTCGGCGCTTTGTTTACGCGAGCGAAGCATTCCGCCGCCTTGTAACCCGCAGCTAGCGTGTTTCTTTTTACGCAAAAGAGGTTAAACAATGTGAGCCGCGCTAAGAAAACGTTTAATGCGCTTCGTATAAATTAAAATAAAATTCCAGAGTGCTCTAGATGCCCCATTTTATTCACCAGATTTTGTAGCTGTGACATGAGCTAGCTCCCTTAAAGATAGTACCTGTGCATCTTGTAAATGCATGATGAATTATCTACCCTTTTCATAGCCCGTTGGAGCTGGCTTACCCGGTGTACAAGTAACTAAAATGGTAGTGTCCATCTTCAAAAGTACACTTTCTTTCTCCCTACAGATGCGTCGAATGCGGGAAGGCGACCAGCAGTTTTTTTTTAAGTTTTACCGCATGTCACCCGCGCTGTTCGACGAGTTGCTGGGCTTTGTTGCTGCGGACTTGACACGGCAGCACTTCATACGAGAGCCCCAGGAGCCAGGCGAAAAGCTTGCAATAACCTTGAGGTTGGTACAGGTTGCCTTCTGATGCTGATGCAAGAACATAAACATGTCAGTGAACAGATCATAGATGCATACGTCAGCTTATACAAATGGCTTTTGCATTGTGAAATGGCGAAATGGGCGTTGCAATCATTCATGCTTTCTCACATTGGCCAAGTCTTCAAACTTTTTTAATATAGATGCCCCTTCGTGTCAGAAAGCAATATTGCCATTTGCTTGTTACCTAAAGAGGCAATCCTGTTCAGAGTTTGCATGTTATCAAACACTTTTGTTGCAGTTGTGCTGGCCATGTATTGTGAATCGGAGAAGAAATTACTTTTTGTGTGTTGCAGCTACCTCGCTTCAGGGCTGGACATCTGCAACGTGGCCCTCGCCTACCGTGTCGGCATTGAAACTGACCGGAGAAGCATTCACGTGACCTGTAGAGCCAGTTTGGCTCGCCTGAAGGACCACTTTATGAAGGTGGGTAACGTCAGAGCCTGTATAAAATTTTCTTTCAGTAAATGGTACACTTCATATCTGCAGTACAAACAATTCCTTCGAAGACTCTGTTTAAATGAAAATTTTTTTATTATTAACAGTGCCTAAGGCAATTGTGATTAGCAAATACAGTATATCCCTATGGGCTTTGAAAGCCTGGTGAACTATGTCTATGGTATTACTCTGGTTTTCAAAATGCAGTAATCACACCTTTTTGTTGTCGAAATAAAAAATGGGGTGGTAAAATGCACTGCGTTGACCGTGTACAACTGGGCAACAAAAGTGACACCATGCCTTCAGCATGATTGGAAGCTTACACCTTGTACAAAATTTGGTTCACCATGCCGTGGATCCATGCCCAAAGAGCATGCACAAGAGAAAAGTGAATGTCATTTTTTCACATTCCACCTCACAAAGATATTTAGCTAAAAATAGGTCTGTTTGGCCTACAAGTTTGTTCCTGGTTTCCAATTTATTCCAGGTACCAACCAAGGCTGAATGGGCCAAGATTGCTGGCGACTTCACCCGGCGTTGGCAGTTCCCAAACTGTTTGGGGGCTGTTGACGGGAAGCACGTCGCCATCACCTGCCCGCCTAAATCTGGAAGTGCCTTCTTCAATTACAAGGTAAGTCACTCTGGCCATTTATGCACGTATACTGAAACGAACAGCATTAATGCGGGAGGGGTAGTGTGCCCTTGTCTGCTGGAGAATGTGTGGTGGCAACATAGACAGCCAATGTGCACCACCCATTTGTAGGGGTGCGGTGCCAGTAGCGTAACTGTGACAATTAAAAAAGAAATGTTCTATGTGCAGTGGTATAAAAAGTTGTCTTAGTTATTTTCATTTCAGTAAGCTTCCAAACTCTGTAATGCAGGAAGTTGCCTAAAATTCTTCACCCCTTTCTTAAATTACCTTCTAATTTAAAATGCTTGGACAACGTCCAGAGCCTTGCCCTGCAATGCTATACTTTTTTTTTTCTTATGTACCACTTTTGAATGGTGCACATGGGCTCCAGAAATCAGCGAAGAGAGGGAGACAGAGAAGGGGACTGAGCTCGCAGTTTGCCAAAACGAAGGAATACAGCCCCGTGGTCTAAGTCGTTTTGCCAGAATACTTCATGTATGCAGTATTCTTCCAGTGCTGCGGCAGGTACTTATGACAGCTTGATTTGATGTTTACTTTGAAATTTAATTTCAACAGAGGTGTTTTTCAGAGCCCTTATGGCTAAATTAAATTATCACTGTGCATGACAGAAATCTTTCACAATGAGCTGGTACAAAAAAAATGCGTGGCCAGCATAGGTGATTTTGTAAATTTTGTCATACTTTTTCTTTGTAATCGCTTATTATTGTAGGTCCCACCTACACATACAACTTTACATGTGCTAATGTTTGGTCTGACGCCTACTGCTGCAGGGTACTTTCTCCATTGTGCTGATGGCCGTGGTCGACAGCTCTTCGAAGTTCGTGCTGGTCGATATTGGGGCAGAGGGCCGCCAGAGTGACGGCGGAGTGTTCAAGAACACGAAGTTTGGGAAGGCCCTAACGGAAGGGCAGCTTGACATCCCCTCACTGGGGCAGCTCCCAGGCACCACAAAGGTGGCGCCGTACGCTTTCGTCGGGGATGAAGGGTTCCAGCTGCGGCGCGACTTTATGCGCCCTTTCCCTGCTAGACTCCTTGAAGATGAACGAAGAGTGTTCAATTACAGACTAAGCCGAGCACGGTATGATATCAGGCACTTTCTTTGGGTATGCTGAGCCTGCCATACTCAATTTTATACAAACACAGAAAGCACTTGAAATAACGTTTAATGCACACTTCGCAGCAAGACATCGATGAAGAAAAATAAAAACAATGAACACAAAATACATAGCTTAAAAACAGTGGCTCTAATTTCACAATATAGTGCATATAGTCAACCCCGTAGCTCAAGAACAGTGGCTCTAACTTGCGGACAAAGCAGCTGAACGAAAACAGTTCAGAGGAAAAACATCTAAAAACAGAAGGGGCACATAAAAAGCTCACCACACTTAGTACAAACCATCATTATGAGAAAACGATCTCGCAAGCACAAGTCAAATTGAGGTGTGCACCGTGCACAATGTTTGTGACCCCATCTCAATAACAAGTGTCCCTTTACCCAGCTCAGAAAAATAGGGCATGCGTAGCAGCTTGTGCGACTTGTGATTAACCTTACATTACAAACATAAATGCTGATTTGAATTAGCTGTTCACGTTGCTTGTCTAAAAGGCCGTACAGAAATAAGCGCAAAATATTTCTTTATGTACAATTATAGAGCATAGGACTTTTATTCTAAAAAAACGCGAGCTTATGAGCACTGTGCCCATTTTACGTTGCCATTCTTGTAGCTGCAGTTTCAAAAATAGTCTAATGAATTGGCTTTGAAAGGTGGCTGCTTCTAAAACCTGTTTTGTACTATTATTTCATTTTACCAGGAGGTGTGCTGAAAACGCCTTCGGCATCACAGCGGCCAGGTGGCGCATACTGCTCCGCACCATTCAGCTTCTCCCCAAGAATGTGGATTATGTAGTGAAGGCAGCATGTGTACTGCATAATTTCTTAGCGGTCCTAAATGAGGAATTGGACCAGATCCTCGACCAAGAGGACAGGTTCGGAAATGTGGTTCCAGGACGGTGGAGGCAGGGCATCCAGCAGACGTCGGGACAGGGGCATGTGGACCCCTGCTATTTCTCGCTTCAGGGATCCCAGTCACGGAACTTCAGTGCAGATGCTGCGGATGCCAGGACGCTTTTCTCGGCCTACTTTTGCAGCAGCGCTGGAGAGGTAACATGGCAGTGGCACCAGCCCGGAGTCTCCAAACAAGGGGCCCTGAAGCGCTTGGAAGAGCAGGGGCTGCACCCATTTTGCTGAAGGTAAACTTCTCCTTTAATAGCAAAGACACCCTGAATCATGTTTAGCCATGTAATGTTGGCCCACTCATATTGCACCATGCCTCATAATGCAACATGCCTCATTCTCTATGCCCACGCTTTGTCAGCTCTAAGGACAAGAAGCACCACACTTCAACTACTGTTAAATTGCCGGATCACTTCCAGAATCTTCATGCGCATGCGCAAGTGGTCTTCCTCTTTTACTTTTCTCATTGATTTCACGAGCGACAATGCAAAATAATGATCGTCGTCCTGGTCCTCTAGACTGTATGTAAGTTTTCCAAGGTGCTCTACAAGTAAACTGTCATTGTCGTCTTTCTTTTGTCTTTTTTTGGGTGGCTGCATGACAGACATGCTGGCAAGGCTGGACCCCTGGCTTTCCAGTGACGTTGCCGCCAACCCAAGTGGGGACGCAGTTCCCAGCGGTGATGGTGCCGACTCACTTGACTGCGTCGCTTCAAGGGATAACATTCCTGGTTCCAGTACCGACGGACTACACTCAACTGGCACCACCGGCGCTGGATAGAGATCGGAGAGGTCATCAGTCTGATCTAACTCGATGGTGTCAAACTGGCTCGGACACATGTCTCTAAAAAGGGTTTCCGGGGTCTCCTGCCGTGCCACCTGTCGAACATCCTCCTTTTTTTGCCTCCTCTTGGACTCGAAATTTCCAGAAGTCCTGCATAGCAAAAATGAAGGTGTATGTATTAGGGTATAGGTGTGTAAAAAAGTGTCAATGTTTGCCCTGAAAGATGGCAAAATATGCCCACTGTTATTAATTGTATGCTTCTTACAACCATAGTTTGTGTACTAGCACACTCATTGCTGCATTGTGTTATACAGAACGCCTCATGGATCTCGCATGCCATTCTGAGTTCCTTTTTTAACTTGCGGCTGGCGGCAGACCCTTTCAGCAAGTTAGTGTGTTTACACAGGCGATCGTTAATGCAACGTCAAACATGCCAACATTCCCATTGTTAATAAATGCATGCTTGTTACACTACAGCTTAGTGTGTGCGAACACTATAATTGTTTTGTTTTTCATTATAAGGAGGGAGAGGGAAAGTAGATTTCTTTGTCCAGTTTAGTAGGGCTAGCCTTCCATCCTAGGCATCAGCCAGGTGCCTTTGGGTCCTAGTAGAGTCTTCGGCTAACTGAATGTCCCAGAGCTGATCTGCCGGATCTGAGCTGAGGAGCAGTCTCCCACTGCTCATCAATAACAATGATGTGGTTCTAAGAGATAGCTCGAAGCAATTTCCATAATGTATGTGCAAGATCTGCCCCCTGTTTGCATCCTCTACAGCTGTCTGAAAGATGTCCAGCATAATGACTGTATGCAATAGGGTTTGGGCACCTTTGGCACCACTTGTACATCTGAGTAGTGTAGAATTTCTATATGCTTCCAAGAACTGCAAGGGAATCTTTTCTGCATCTGGACAAAACTGCTTCTCTAATGAGCAGGCCCCACCAATCACTGTGAGCAATAAAATGCTCACTTTTGTTGGCTTCAGCGTGACATAATTAAGCAAGTTTTAATTACTGTAGGTTTACACTTTTACAGCATCCCTAGTTTAAACCTCGCATTACGCCGCACGTTACAGATGCGGTTTTGGTACTGTTGCAAGCAATTTTAGCTTTCAATAATCAAGACTATTCTGGTGCGGGAACGCGGGGCACGGCGCAAAAGTATGCACATTGGGTGTGTACAGAACAGAAATACACATACGCAAGAAGCACTCTTTGTGCGATGTTACCTTTACTCGTCGCGTTTCGTGTAAACTTTTGTGGCGTATTAGCAACTTTCGCCAGCATTCCCGAAAGCGGCAAGGCTCACAATCACAAGCTACTTTATTCAACGCGAAAAATACGCGAGCTTTTCTCTTTCGCTAGTTCGTAATACCAATAAAAGCGTCAATAAACTTACTCTCGGAAGGTCATGGTGTCGCGCAAGAACACCAGCTGCTCGTAAAAGGGCCACGAAGCCGGCTGCACTGGACTGTCGGCAGGCGGGTTCCCTTCATCGCCCTCATCTTCGGTGTCGGCGTCTTCCGTGCCCATGCCGCTTTTCTTTTTTTTTTTTCTGGGCTAGCACGAACAGCCTTCGGAACTTGTCCCGCAAAAACTTCCAGCGCTTTTGCAGCGCAGTGATGCACTCTGCGTAGACGAAATGAAATATCAGCCACTGCTTTCAACACAACCTGTCAAGCCAGCGGAAACGCGCCGAACGTACCTTTGCTGGCCTTCCCCGGATACATTATTTGACCCACTTCTTTCCTCAGGGCACCTTTGACTTGCTGATTCTTGTGGTCCTTGTGCGTGGCCAGCCACAAGGACGTCCGGCTGGTCACACAAGAGATTAGTTTTTCGTTATCGACCGCCATCGCCGACAACTTGCAGAGGGCGCCCATTGCGGCTGAGAGACAGGAGGAGCGGAAGCCCGCGGCAGCGGCGTTTGATTGGCTGCTGCCGAGGGAGCAACTTCCGGCGCGTGTAAAAATATCTGGCATAGCCAGATCTTTCCGAACGCGCGCGCTTCGCCTGGCGCGCCGTCTCCGGCCGTCATGTGGTAGCGCATAGGCGCGTGAGCGCGTGGAATCTCGCGCGCGAACGCGTGCGTGTAGTTGGGGCTTAACGCTCGGGGCACGGTTGACGGGCATGACAATGCCCGTCAACCGAACCGTGTGCTCAGGGGAGCGTTCCCTTTTTTGTTTCGAACTCAGCGCACGAGCTTTCAATGCTGAAGCCAGTAGCCTGACTGAAGGCTGAGCTTGTGTCCCTTCTCACCTTTCACTCAAACAGTGACGTCACCGGCAGCGCCCACCAATAAGCCCCACTCTCGATGTCGGAACAGCAGCTGGTTGGCCAAACGAGTTCTGGCGACGGTAACCACTGGAGAGGCCGGCGCTTCAGTCGCTGTGACGCAGGAAATGACACCACGCGACTTTTTAATGGCGTCGTCAGTGTAGCGCGCTTCCTTTCAACCCCAAAACCGGCTAATTTTCTAGCTAGCGAGTTTTTACCGCTCGATAGCGCAGTTTCCGGACACAATCGAGTGAGTCCTATCATGAATCAGCTCTTCGAAAACGCCACGACAGCGATACACTTGCCTCACAAAATTAAAATCGGCGAATTAAATGGGCGATTGCACTCGATTGTTCAACTGAGTCGGCAGCCACTTTTTTTGAGTGCCTGTGCATTCACTAAGAAACTGCATCTGCTATTAGAGCTTAAATGTTTGGTATAGAAAAATTCCATGATTTTTTTTAATATTGCACAGTATCGGGGCGCACCCTTGTCTTGATAAATAAGCGACACAACCTACCGACACTGTGGTGACGTTTGTTTCTATTTCCACACCAATATTATGTAGTTAAACGCTAGAAAGCCACAAAGTGCTATCAGTCAGACTAGTTCGAACCTCAGTCCGACGGCGTCTCTTCCTCAGTATAGTTACGTCCCAGAGTGGATCATCCTCCGTTCCGTCCAATCCGTTGCTGATGCAGCATTTGCGTAAGGAATTGCGCAGCATATCTTCCGGGAGAGATTTCCTAGCTGCCGACACCAAGCCAAAAACAGTCGCGAGAAGTTGACGTCATATGCGCCCAGCATCCACTCAGTATAGAGCTCGCGCACGCGATCTGTGAACGGCGTTATTGAGCACTACGTCCGAAGAGGCTGGAGGATTGATGTTAGTCCCCTAGAGATCATGAATGGCCCTTCTGGCCATCGGAAAGAGGTCCGTTAAATCGGTCGTGAGGTAGCCTCTAAATAGTTGAGCACCAACATGCTCGGTTACTGAAAGAGCACACTGGGCGACCGACTCGACACAAGCCGGATCCACTCAAGCATCAGGAACTATTTCAAGAATACTTTTTTGTTCGCTGTCACGATAACATCTCGGGGAAAAACTTCTTTTGGTTAATCGTTTCTTCTGAAAATGATATGAGGGGGCAGCTTTCTTAATCGCCTGTGCACGTGAGCATCAATGTAAATTGTGAATTCTCGTTGCCCAGAGTGTCACTTAATAGAATTGTCTCAGTGGTCGAAGGCATATCGAACCAGATCGGAGTTCCGTCAGCGTTGCCCATGTAGCAACGCTGTCGACGATGCCCGATGACGAAGCGCTGATACTCGACCAACTTGTTATCGAAATCTTCGGGCAGTTTTCGGCACACGCAAGTACGCCCCTCAGCGCAAAGTCCTGCCACTTCGTAAATATGGCACGCACACACACACACTATGGCGAGCCCTTGAATTGCAGTCTGGTGAACGCGGAGCCGCGCGCCATCTTCAGAGCTTTCACGAGGATGCACTCCGCTGTTACGGGTGGCAACCTCGCACGCAGCTCCCGGACGAATTCGGTGAGTAGCATTTCCAGTTCGGGGAGCACTGCAGTCTGACCAGGAAACGAAGCTTTTTTGTTGTTGTAAGATTTGATGCGCTGGTTTTCGTTCCTCCAGTATCAGACGCTTTTCTCCGATACACCGAATTCCAGCACCGTAACCTGGCGCCTACCGTGCGCTTTGGCATACTCAATAACTTCTTTCCTGAAGTCTATCGTAAACTGCCGCCAACTTCCACTCATTTCTGAAGGATATAGTAAACAAACAGCAGACTGACAAGGATAGCTGAAGCAAACTGGCGTTGCTAATACACTGTAGGCCTTGCCCAGCCCCCCACGGCGCCGCTGCTGATGCTCACGATGACAATGAAGGCTTTTGACTTCAGCTGCCCATTCGTGCGAGAAACCACTTTTTTCTGCCAATGACCGGTATATAAAAAGAGGGTTGACGTTTCATCGCGTTTTTTTAATTAGGAATTCTACCGATATTCCGTTTTTATAGGTAAATGTGAAACACCAAGTACACAAGAGCATCGAGCTTCATGTCGGGAAAGGAATCGCGTTAGTATAAATAATAAAGTGTCTTAGAGCACAAAAGCAGCTAATATCTGAATCACACAATGCGCATTGCGTGACCAGTGGGTCATCGAATTATCCACCTCATTATAATCTCTTCAGGCATAGTTTTTCGTCGCTGTTAGCCACAGCACATAAATTGGACAAGATTCCTTGCAAGTATAAAAGGTACCATGCTTCTCCGAAGAATGCCGTACAGTGAATGACTCCCTACCACACAAAAATTGTGATTTATTGCGCTATAGTTGGTACCCTGCTAGTGTGTTTGTAGCAATTACCGAAAGAGTGTATAACAAAAGATCTGAAAGGTTGCTCTTCAAACTTTTGCTGCGACTGTGCTGCGTGTGCC